TGTGAGAGCGGGTTGCACGCTACAACAGAATTGATGGAAATGATAATTGGTTATGACTACTGAGTTGGCTTCAATTATTATAAACGAGTTACCTGATTTGTTTTTATTATTGTTGTTGTTACTAATATTGTGTACAGGTAATGTAAGTGACCTGCCTTAGCATCGTCACTACTTCGTCGAGGTTAGGCTCAGCACTTACCAGTATATGGGGTCGGTTGTACTGATACTACACTCTGCACTTCTTGTGCAGATTTTGGAGTTGGTCCCAACGGCGTACCATAGACTTGCTCGGATTTCAGCTACTCAGAGGAGACTTGAGGTATAATTGCACGGTGTTCGCAGTTCTGAAATCCCCGTCTACTTCACTTTAGCTGTGTGTTTGTTTTCAGATAGTTTTATTTTATTCAGACCTTTATTTGTATTTATTCTAGAAGCTCGTGCACTTGTGACACCAATTCTGGGATGGTATTTAGACACCGTTATTTTTATAGATTAATCACTATATTTCAGACCTTACTTCCGCGTTTATTTCTTTGTTATTAATAAATCTAAAGATTGTTTAAAAATTGGTTTATATCATTCTAACGTTGGCTTGCCTAGAAAGTGAAATGTTAGGCGCCATCACGGTCCGAAGGTGAAAATTTCGGGTCGTGACAAATACGACCACAAACGAATAAATAACCCCATCACTAATTTAATAGCCCTTTAAAAGCTTCAACCAACATAAATAAAGTAAAAAAAATGCATTAGAAGGACAAGTTGTAGATACCCAAAAATTTCAAACCCAAAACAAATTTATACAAAGCAGTAAAAATCTCACCTTTGACTTTGGATATGAATCTTCAAGAGAATCCTTGAAATTACTATGCATATTTTTTCCAACAATCGACTTCACACACAAGAATCGAGTCTTTGCTGAAAAATAATCTCTTGTTTTTAGGTTTTAGTTAAATGGGTTATATGTATTCTGGGTCAGCGGGTCGGATCGGGTATCTTTTAAAGGATAAATTTGACCCTAATTGGTCTGTTAAATCTCAGGGGCAGATTTGAGCCCAAAAAAATGTTGAGGGTACTTTTGGTCTCAAAAGTTAATTGGGGGGCATTTTTGAGTTATTTTCAATAGGTTACGAGCATTGATGGCCTTTTCCGTATTATAATTCATATTATATACCGTATATTTTTTTTAGTATATATACAATGTATTTTTACATTGTAGGATGTGATATTTTAACTTAAATAACAAGTACGTTTAATTTATATACTTCGATTCACACTTATTTACATTATAAATATGATTATACCATTATTATACAATTTATATATAATGTATTTTTAATTTATATATATTTATATTCACACTTAAATACATATTATATTACTATTTATACAATGTATATAACATAACACATAATACAGTTAATAGATGCAATAGTGGATAACACATATAAACTCAGACAAATATTACAGCCATATGCAATGTACTGTGCCAAATGCAACAAGGGGATCTAGTCCTTTTTGTTGGATATTTATCGATAAAATAGAAAAATAATTAATGGGGTTGAGTGGGCGAGATATGCGAATTTTATAATTATTTTACTGCCACCTTTGTTTATTAAGTAACCCTGCTAGGTTGGTATAATTACTTCTCAAATATTGCCCAGTTATAAAACTTTCCCAAGAAAATTTGGAATAGTTCACACCTTTTGTAGTTTGAAGCCCTTACAAGGCACATTTTTCAGCCCTGTATGGTTTTCTCCTAAACAATTTTGTATTTCTTTCTCACTTAAAAATACAAATATGACGAAGAAGTCGAAATCTTACAATCATCCAAACAAAATCTTAAATTTTTCTCCTAAAATAAGGAAAATGAAGTTAGAATGGTAGTAAGTATTACTTACAAAATTGTACGTAATATTGTATTTTAAAGAATCTTAAGTTTTTATTCATTCATACATAGATTTAGATGATAAAATATGAGTTGTACGTACCGAAATTTTCAAAATCAATATTACTACAAAAATAGCTTTGAACACTTAAAAACCCAAAAACCTAAACATTATTATACATATAAAGACACTAAACTATAAATAGAGAACACTTTTTTAGCTACAAATTTGAAAGAGTACTTCCAAAAAGTAAATATAACATGTCTACATTTCAGTAATTAATTTATGTAAGGAAAATGAATCTAATGACAGACAGTAACCTCAACTTCAATACCATCATCTTAACATTTTAGGAGGAAAGAGTGATTTTACTGTTGTGATTATGCGCCCGTGCCTTCTTAACCCCAAGCTTGTTGGTTGGCTTCGTTGCTGCATATGCCATCTTTTCTAAGAGTGGAGAAAAAAGTTAAGAGCAATATTTCAACGGGAGACAAATGTCATTACGTCTCAAACATCTCTTCCCAAAGGCAATCATCAAAACCACTCTTTTGTAACTGAAAATTTCTATAAAATTTTACGTAAATATGGAGAAAGACAATTAAGTTGTAGAATTGTAACTTAAACTTTATGCAAGAACTTAAAGGGAATTAAATGAAAGAAAGGGTAATAAGAATATAGTAAAACATATGATAAAATATACAGATGAATAAGCACTCCAAACCGTTAACTATAGATAAAAGCTCTCACAATTCCAGAGCTTGAATAAGTCATTTATATCCAGATTTTTCATAATGTATAGACATTTAATTAGTAGATTACTCTGATCCTTTATTGAGAGTTTGTCAAATGAATCAGGCTACTAATTATTCTCGACAACTCTTCAAATTCTTCAGATGGTCTATATCAACTTTTGTCTTCTCAACGCCCCCTTCAAATTAAAAGAGCATTAATTGAATATGAGAGGAGATTTAAAAAAATAGAAAAAAGATAACTTGGAATGTCTATTTACATTTTTATACAAAAAAACTTCTTGAAATAATGTTTGTTCAAAGGGCAAAATAGTCGTTCAAACTTTTGATGGCTATTTTGGTCTTTCATTTTTTACTTTAGGGCTTCACACTTATAATATAGTATGATGATATGATATGACGTGATGATATGACGATGATTAAGCAATTGAATGTACTAGTAAGAGCACCTTTAAGAGGGTTTTCCTTTGTTAAATAAGTTGATTAGTACGTGTTTGAATTGCAAACAAATACTCGAGAGGTAGGGTTGTAGCTTATGCTGCTGGTATAACTATCCTACCAAACTGATTTTAAATTCTAACTTTAAAATGATCCATTGTTTTACATTTCAAATTCAAAATTTGTTGATTTTAAATAGCATCATTCAATCTAACCACATGATTTGTATTCTTGTTTTCCCCTTGAAAAGTAACATGAAGATTATATCTTTTTTCTCTGTTTCTCAAACAAAATCTATTTATAAAAATATTTATCTAAAAAGCTGTATCTTTGAATTTAACTTTGATTTTATTACATAACCTAAATAACATTGTCCTAACGAAGTAATATTTTAGTAGTTTTTCATTTAGATTAATCTCAACTATACATGTTAATCGGGTCGGGCTGACCCGTTTACAATCCAGCCCGGGTCAGCCCGGTACTGTAGCATTGGGGGCGGGCTGGAACGGGTTGGGCGGGGAGCGGGTTTCAAACGAACAGTTTTTTTTTATACTGGTGCACCGGAACCCGCTAAGCCCGCTAACCCGTTAACAAGTTTTTAACGGGCTACAACCCGGTTCAACCTAGTATCCGTTATAATTTTTTTTTAAAAAATTTTCTGGACCGTTGCCAACGGTCAAATTCGAAGAACCTCATGTTGACATGGATGAACTTACAAAAATGATACAAAGCATGTGATGTACTATTTCTTATTTTTTATAATTGTTGTAAATTTTTAATTTGCAAGTTCAAAAATAAAAAAATAAAAAAAGAACTTACAACTTAATTTGAAGTATGATATATTATTCAATAAAATATCAAATGAAAGCCTTGAGAGCTTGATCCTTACATATTGCCTATTGGTCTTATTAAATAATTTTTTGTAGCCACTTACTTTCAAATTTCAATTTTAAAATTTTAAAATTCAAAATTCAAATTTAAAACTTTAAACTTCAAAGTTTAATTCTAACCCTTAAAAGTTTGCAAATACTTAAGTATCAATAAAATTGAATAAGAAAAATAAAATTTACTTAAAAAAAATATTAAAATAGCCCGGCCCGGTCTAGCCCGCTAAGCCCGAACCCGGACGGACAAAAAAAAAACCCCAAAAAGTACAACCCGCTAACAGCTCGTAACGTTTAACGGACGGGCTGATTTTTTTCATGTACAGATCGTCCCAGCCCGCGCGTTAAACACCTCTAATCTCAACAGACTGTCTTCTTACTTTTGATAACATACAATTTTATACGATTGTCAAATTTTTCTATAAATTTAATTTCTTAAAATTTATATCAAATCAATATTTATTTTTATAAGTAAAAAATGTGACAATAAGTGTAAATTTTTGCAGAATTATTTTATTCTATTCAAATCATAAAGAATCAACAATTTCATAATAAGTTAAACCCCAATCCGTTTAATTTACCAAAGGCAAACCGAGAAAGAAAAATCAGAAATTACACAAAAACCTCCCTGCGCTTGAAGTGTTGTTCAAGAAAAACCAATAACAAAAGTCTGTTCCTTTTTTCACTCCACAGGTTCTCAGAGCAAAAAACCTTCCCGCAACATAGTTCGTTTCCTCGTTCTCTTCAGTCCCAGAATGTCGGTAAGTATTTCTTCTTCCTCGTATCTGTAGAGAGTATACACAGATGTTTGTAACCCTAGCTTGTCTCATCACTCTCCTAAACCTAACTGTAAACCCAGCTTTTTCACAGAAATTTTAGATAGTAGAGATTCTTTTCCTTAAAAAATAAATTGAAATGGGCTTGATTAGAATGGAATAAATTAGAGGATTTATATGGCTGAACCCAATTAGTTTGAGTTTGAGATGTAGTTGATTGATTGATTTTGATAGAGATTAAAAAAAAAAAAATTTAAAACTTTTTTATTATCTAAGTTGGTTTCATGGACTTAGCTTTAATGCAGAAAGTTTAGATAGTATTGATTTAAAAACAAGAAACTGAAATGGTATTTGATTAGAACGGAAGAGATATAGAGGATGTATAGAGTTTACCTCAAATAGTTCGGGATCAAGATTTAGTTGATTTATTGATATTGATAGAGAAAGAGAAAAAGAAGAAACTGAAATGGGTTTGATTAGAGACGGAACAGATATAGATGATTTATATAGCTGACTTCAAATGGTTTGGGATCGAGATGTAGTTGATTGATTGATTTTGACTGGCGTAAAAAAAAAGGAAACTGAAATATGTATTATCAGAGATGGATTTTTGGACCTATCTTCAAGGGCGGATGTAGAGTAGCGGTGCCAGGTTCATCTGAACCTTGTACATTCGACGAGAAGCATAAATTTATGCGTAAAAATTCACTAAAATTACAACATATGGTACGTCTGAACCCATAAGTTTAAAAATACGATAGGTTCAATGCTAAGAACCTTAAAAGTTGAACGCAAATAGTTTAAATCCTGGATCCGCCTCTGCCTATCTTTTATGGATGAATTTCAGATAGCAGAATGGGCACTGAGGATTCGGATATGCAATCTCAATTAGTCAATAAGGGTAGTCCATTGATTTTGATATAGATAAAAGTAACTGAAGTATGTACTATTGAATTTTGTTTTGTGAAGTGGGTTACTAATATTACGTGTTTGGTTATGGTGGTGTGTATAAACAAATTGAGAATAATTGATTGATTGATTTTAATAGAGATACAACACTTAACTATGTGTTATCATGGTTGCTTTTTTGCACAAATTTCAGATACAGTAGATAAGAAAAAAACTGAAATGGGCTCGAATATAGCAGAATGACACAAAGGATTCATTTGCTAAACCCAACTATTTAGGGATTAAGGCGAGGATTTTGTGATCTAGCCGTAGAATTGGTTTTAGTAGAGATAAAGAAACTTAAAAATGTATTATTTGCATTGTGGGTTATTGATTATGGTGATGTATATGTATAGATCTTTGAGTACAATGGAAGTGCCCTAGTGGCAATGGTGGGGAAGAACTGCTTTGCAATTGCGAGTGACCGGAGACTTGGTGTGCAGCTGCAGACAATCGCCACTGATTTTCAAAGAATATTCAGAATCCACGATAAGGTTTTCATTGGCCTTTCCGGGCTGGGTACCGATGTCCTAACACTGTAATTCCAATCCCTTTTCTTTTATGTTCTTCTTCTTTTGCTATTTGCTATTTGCATGTGTCGGTCTTGGCATATATGCTTGAGTGCTAATCGGATTAGATTTTTACAGAATTAAATCAATCCAACGACACAGATCCTTGTTGTTCAGGAGAAGAGATAAACTTATCATATTATCATTTTCTCATGATCCACCATGCATATTGTGGGAGATTAAGTAGACCTTTTCTGTAAATTAATAACCAAAATATAAATACGTTACGGAAGAGAACATAAAACTTTGCCTCCTCAAATCCTATTCGCGGAACGAACAAACTCATTCAATGTACAAAAGATATGTGATGCAGAAGTGCCGTATGCAGTTTGACCTTGTACTCTGATGTTGTAAAAGTTATGTTTTGAGCCTAGAGAAGGATGTAAAATATTAAAGAGAACTACGGTGGGGTTTATACTTGTTTGAATTGCATGAATGAATTAAGGGATCAATTTATAATATTGGTATTATTGTTTGGGTGAATATTAAAACATGAATTGTTATACTACGAACAATAATATATGGTTTATTATGCAGAGATTACACTTTCAAAGTCATGAATTAGCTTTATCTTGAAATTACTAAGACACTGATTTGTATTCCAGATTATGTCTCCTATAAAACAATACATTAATTCATGTATAAGTTATGCAAGTATTACATAGATGGACTTATATACTGGAAACTGAACACAATATTAATTATGCAAAGTTGTATTAGTACTACAAGTTTAATATGAGAAACTAAACTTTGTATTACGATGATAACTACGCCTCAATCCGAAGCAAGTTGTGTTGGCTATATGAATCCTCACTTTACATGCTGCTCCGATTAAGTTCATCTTAGACCCATATTATACAAAACCTTTGTATTAATAATGCAAAATCTTGTAACAGGGTTATTTTCTCTTAAACAGCAAACCAAATGAGCATTAAGTGAATGACATCAAGATATTGAGTCATCTTTGTGGTATTGTGAAATATAAGGTGCTATAGGAGTTCCCAAACGAATTTGAGTTTGAACGACTTATTAAAGTGCTTGTTCACATATAGGAGGGATGCATTAATTTGGAACGAAGAGTGAGACAAATTTTATGTCAAGCTTAACTCTTTCAGTTTTGGTGTTGCTTTCTTTGGGATGTGGGATGGGGAGGGACATAATCTCTTTATTGATTTGTTTCGTTTTGATTATGTCACTGATATATACCTTTGATCGGTTTCTGAAGGTATCAACGGCTAGTGTTCCGTCACAAGTTATATCAACTTAGAGAAGAGAGGGACATGAAGCCTGAGACTTTTGCCAGCCTTGTATCTGCTCTTCTTTATGAGAAAAGGTTATTACTATTTATATGTCCTGTGGCTAGTTATTTCCTAAAGAGACTTCATGCACTGTTCATGTATGAATAAATTTTGTTGAGAGTTGGCATAAACTTGAAAGGTGACTGCCTCCAAGACTGGAAAGCAATTTGATCACTTTGGTGGGTGAAGGTTTACTAAATACTTAAAAATGTGTATAAACATCGAGATAGTGCATTTTTGTCTTTCGTCCTCTACGCCTGGGCCTTCAAGGCTATACTATTTCTTTACCACCATTCCATCCATACTAAAACATATCTGCAGCAGATATTACGATTGTGTCAATATTTTCCAATGACTTGCTGGGGATAATACTTGCTGAAATAAGTTGCAAGTCATTGAAAACACTGACAGATATTCTCTCCTCTATAAATTAAAATCTTTTGGTCCATGTAAACTGATATTCATCTTCTGACACTTCCGATCTGCTTTTGCCCCATTCCCTTGCCTAAGTATCTGATCAAGTTGAGCAAAAGTCCCACGTAGTAGGCAAATTGTAGTTTGATCTCGACATGAAACCCAATTTTCTGCAAGTTTTGACAACTTTTGAGGCTGCAAACTCGAGCCACCATTTTAAGCTTGAATCAGTAGCAGTATTGTCAAAGGCTCATTTAAGGCGCGCCTAAGCCCTGAAGCTCAGAAAAGCTCAAGATGGGCGCTTTACCTCGCTTAAGTTGCGTTTAGTGTAAGGCAAGCACTAAGGCGTGGACCTCATAGCCCATGAGTTCTCTGTTGAATCAAGTGGTAGTAAACAACAAGTATAATCGAAAATATGTGTTTTAGCTACTAAGGGAAGCATTATAAATGAATTTGTTACTTTGTTCTTGATTACATATATATTTTTATCTTTTTTCCGCCATTGCGACTTTTTTTTACTAAAGCCCACACTTTAAGTACGCTTTGCGCTTAAAGCCTCAAGAGACCAAGAGCGCTTTTTAGAGCTTTCGCCTTTGACAACACCGATCAGTAGACAATTCATTGGATCTTGATTTTATTTTTTCCTTTCAATGATGAGTGTGGGATGTTTGGCTTTAATAGCTCAACTCAATGGCTGCCTTACCTTGTCTCTTCTGTCTCTTTTATTGGAAAAAGGCCTATTAAAATAGCTATGTTTATATGTGTGTGTATGGCACTATTTCTATAATGGTTCTACTAATAATTGCGTGTTGAATTTGGTTTCCATCTAGGTTTGGTCCATACTTTTGCCAACCTGTAATTGCTGGATTAGGAGATGATGACAAGCCATTTATTTGCACAATGGACTCTATTGGAGCAAAGTATGTTGACCTTTCTACTTCTTCAAGTTAATTTTTGTTGTGCACTTTGAGAGGCTTTCCCTACAATGTTTTGCTTATGATATGGCTACTTACACATTATGCGCAGGGAGCTTGCCAAAGATTTTGTCGTTGCTGGTACTGCCTCAGAATCTCTGTATGGTGCATGCGAGGCCATGTTCAAGCCTGACATGGTTTGTTACTCATCTCAATATAACTTAGTATAATATTCCATAATCTAGCTCAAATGACATTTACATGATGCTTATTTCAGCTGAAACGCATATGCTTAGGGAAAATAATTTTAGCTCCCCTTAGTTTATGTTCTATATGGTGCTGATTTAAGAAAAGTGTAGGCAATGTTTTATATGATGGGTGGTGAAGTCTTATTTCAGCTGAAACGCATATGCTTAGGGAAAATAATTTTAGCTCCCCTTAGTTTATGTTCTATATGGTGCTGATTTAAGAAAAGTGTGGGCAATGTTTTATATGATGGGTGGTGAAGTAATGCATTATCTCTTTGTTGCTTTGCTGTAGCTAGGCGTCCTGTCTTATCCACAAAACCTTTTGCTCATTGATAAGCTGAAATAAATTTGGCCAGTCAATAGTGGAGATGTCAGTATTCCAGGAGTGTAAATCCTCAAGGAGTGTTTTTTCCAAGATCAGACTACATAGAACACTCCGTAGATCATACACTATCCATGGACTCACTTCCGCCAATTATTATCACTATTATAATTCATTTTGATAAGTGCACTTTCATCAATTATTTGTTAGTAGAATACTTTCGCCACTGCAATTTTGAAGTTAGTTTGCAACGGTATGAGAGTGTCAAACATAGGACTAAAAATATGTAACATAGCTTCGTTCTAGCTAAATTTGTCAAATGGCTTTAGTTATGAAGTAACGATATATGGTATAACTACATGTCTCCATGCTTTAGAAATTGAGACTTTTTTTATAGCTTTATGAAGAGAATAGGAGAAAGCTTGATCTTCTACGTTTCTTTAATTGGGTGCTAATACTTTTTTGCTTCAGCACATGAAACTTGTATTCAGCTCTCAATTGTTGACGCCAATAAAATTATGTAGCGTGAAAAATATGTGTTTTTTTGAGACTTTTTGTTGACAGTCCCATAGAAAGAGTCAATAATGCATCAATGTTTCAAAAGTTCTGAGATCCTATAAAAACTGGTCGCTGGAGAATTATCCCGATATCTTGACTCTCCTTTCTTTGATATTGCTCTAGTGATTCAAAATTTGGACTTTGCTTTCTGCCTTCGGTTCTTGACTTGCTGGACATGCATTTAATGAAAAACATTTATTTGGGTTTTTTTCTTTCTTGTGTAATTTGCGCTTCTAGTCTGTTAGAATGAGGTTTTTTCATTCTTTAATTGGGTGGTTAGTTAAGGTGGCACTAAAATTTGCATGAATCAATTGTCTCCAATATCAATGAGATGATATAGTTGTCACGACCCGGAATTTCCCACCGACGGGATCGTGATTGCGCCTAACATTTCACTTGCTAGGCAAGCCAACGTTAGAGAATTATTAAACCAATTCTTTAATTTCATTTAGTAATTAACAATACTTAACTAAAATGAAATATAATAAGTCCGGAATATCATAAAAATTGTATTAATTACTACCACCTGGATTTGGAGACACAATTCACGAGCATTCTAGAATTTACTACAAGTAATAGTCTGAAAGAAATACAACTGTCTGAATGAAAGAAACAGTAGAATAGAAAAGATAGACGGGGACTTCAAGGTCTGTGTACGCCGACAGATCTACCTTGAGTCTCCGGACAACGGACCAATAGTAAAATCTCGATCAACTGAAGCCGGTATCAGTATCAAAATCTACACAGAAAGTGCAGAGTGCAGTATCAGTACAACCGACCCCATGTACTG